TCGCCTACATCGTCCATATAGGACGACTCGGGAACTCAACTCCTACCCCGGGCAGCTCACCGATCCCCTTATGCCCAGGGGAAAGGTATCAAGCCGTTTGACAGCAGATGCTGGCTGTCAAACCGGCTTTTACGCAAAACAGGCGGGAGGCAGCAAACAGCTGCGACCAGCGAAATCGCCTGCCACCGGAAGTCCCCAGGAACTCAAAGTTATCCCTACTCCCAATACTAAAAAAAAGTGAATATATAAAAGCAGGCCATCTAAAGAACCAAGGATATAGATCTGTTTGCCCATGAAAGTTTTGATATATCCATGCTATAAATCAAAAAGTGTCAGAAGTAAAGAAATACTCAGAAGCAACTTAGTATGGCAGGGAAACTGTTATTCAAATAACAGCTTTTGTTGCTTTTTATTTTAGACTCCTAATGCCAAAACCGATTAGCACGTGTCCTGTCATACAAAAAACATAAAATAATGTGTTGCTAAACTGTTTCAGACTTTAGTCCTAAACTAGGAATTGCAATACAAAAAAAAAATCACATATTTTTACAAAATAAAATAGTAACTATGTTATAAAATGCATAAATACTGTAGTCCAGAAATACTTTAAGAAATTGACAAAAACAAAGCTGCTTAAAGTACTAAATAAAACTCCATATTTAATATAAGCAGACTGTGAAAATAAGAATGTGTAGTGAATGAAAAGCCCATGGTCCCCTTACCTGTTCTCCTTTAAGGCCCCACCCCGTGGAATTGATTGACCTGGACTTTTAAAAGTGCTTGACTCTGGAACTAGTTATGGTGGCATTGAAGAGGAAAAGTGGAAGAGAAGAAAAAGGAAAGGAGAAAGGAGAAAAGACAGAAGAAAGACCTGAAGTCTCACAAGAAAGATAACCAGAGGACATTAGAAACTGAGATTGGATAAGGAGGCATTGGGAATGGGAAAGAAAGTAGGAAGAATTCTTGTAAATGGCCAACCAACTGGCAAAGACTGAGCAGACTGGGAATATGAGATCAAGTGCAGCATAAATATGTAGGCATCATTACATTTCAGACTCTGGCAAGCAGCCCGAGCAGAGCTCAGGCACCTGAAAGCCTAGCAGAAGCAAATAAAAAAAGACAGTCCAGGCCCCAACCACCTCCTTGTTGAAAGCCCAGAATGGCTGCTGCCACAGCATTTAAAAAAACAGCTGAGCCACGTAATGTCAACCTAGCAGCCAGTCATTTGAAAGTAACTATAAGACAAAGTAGGTCGGGTCTAAAAGTTTAAGAACCAAACACAAAAGGGTTAAATCAAGAAGCATAAATTAAAATGAAAGCACAGAAATAACAGCTATAGCACCTGCAGAATTATAGACTGTGATTCAAGAGAGAACATGGGACCAGTTTGGTATTATAGTCAAGAGGTTGGCCTAGAAGGCTGGCTGGGTGACATTGGGCCAGTCACTCTCCCTGAGACCAACCCACCTCATAGGGTTGCTGTGGTGATGAAAATAGGAAGTAAGATTACATATGTTTCCTACCTTAATTTGACTTTATACACATACACTACATGCAGAATAAAATATAATAGTAATAATAGTAATAGTAGTAGTAGCAACAACAATAATAATAATAGAAATCACATAAAATATTAATGTTGGCATTTCCAGGTTAGTATCTGTTTTACATTAATTATACTTTTACATGCAATCTGCCATATTTTAGCATGTTTTCCATAGATATGGTGGCTATGTTTGAGCTTGCTTTAGTTGTTAATAGAGATTGCCTGTTAAATTGTGAATCACTACACTGAATGGATTTTTTTTAATTACTTGATTTGTTCTGCTCCTTGTTTAAGGGTTTGCCCCTTAAACAAGGAGCAGAACAACTATAATTGTTCATCACATAGTCAGCCAAATGTTTAGACTTGACTTGGCATTTTTATCCACCTATTCCCTTCCAAGAGCAGTAGAATAGGCAGATGTTGATGTTTGATGGTGTTAAATGTCTCATCGTAGAATGTAAGCTGTTCTGAGTAAAGCTGCCTTTTGCAATTGACTATGAGTTTGTTAATGCCAATGCTGTTCAAGTGGTTCTCCAGATGTTTTGGGATTGCACCCAAGGCCCTTATCACTATAGGTACTATTTTTGTTTTCTTTTGCCAGTCTTTCTACTTCTATTTGCAGATCTTTATATTTTGTGATTTTTCTATTGTAGTTCTTTCTTTTCTCCTCTGCTATCTTCAGGTACTACAGTATACATTATCGAGATTTTTTTGTCTTTCTTATTGACAGTTAAGTCTGCAGTATTATGCAGCAAGTGCTTGTATTATTGTAGATATAATAAAATAAAATAAATAAATTCTATTTAGTTTTTAGATGCTCCGGGATATCTCCATCAGTGTTTTGAAGAGAAAACTTTATTTCTAAGTGCCAGAATTAATGCATATAGAACTCAAAGGGAGGGAGGGAGCTACTTAAGATGTAAAATTACTTAGTCTACTTGTTTTAATGTCCTGAAAGCAAATTAGTTTATTTATATTTATATCCTACTTTCTAAATGTTTGATATTACTTCTTGTATCAAACTCCTCCTGAAACCAAAACATGAAGATACCAATAATTACAATAGTAACTTCTAATTACTGCTTTATAGTATATACTTGAAGATAAACTAAGAGTTTTAAGTGGCAACGTTCACCCTCAAAATTGCTTTTAGCTTATCCATGAATGGGCTTATCAAGAAGTACAGTATATGTAGCAATACTTTTTAAAAATATCCATACAGCTGGTGCATAATCATGGATAAACCCATCCATAAATAAGCAGACCCTCAATTTTAACCAAAATATAATGAAAAAAGTGCCACTTGTGAATAAGTAAATTGTGTAAATTTAAAATAAACAAACATTTTAAGAACTTGGCTTATTGCAGGTAGCACATTTTTCACATATATCCAGAAATACTTTATTTAAAATGCTATTATTATTGTTTTGTTTTTTCATGAAAAAAATCTTTTGTGGATACAGCTTCACCATTTGTTATTTTCTCTTTCACCCCTTGATATTCCAGTTTGATGAAATGAATGGGAAAAAAACCCCTACAGAATCCTGATACACAACTGAACTTCAAGATGAGGGTTCTTAAATGATTTTTTGTTTAGTTTCAATCAATTTTATGCATGTTTTTCTTACTTCTGTGTTATTGGATGGTAGGAGGGAATATTTTATTCAAAAGCTTCTTGGAAGCAAGTTGCCAACTTAGTTTACCTCATGAATGGTAAGAAGATAATTCAGAATGCCCTGGAGTTCATCTTCTTTCACTCCATAGTCCTTAAAAGATAAAATCAAGAGAAATATAATTCAAGTAATGCATTTAAAAGCAGAAGAGAAAGGTTGCTCTCTAACATAAATACTAGTGAAATATTTTGGATTCATTAATAATGACTTGAGTATTAGTTTTAGTTAGTATTAATTTCCATACGGGTCCCTATGACTATGTGTACCATGAATGGATTCCATACATCCCCATATATTGATCCTTCAGATCAGGGGTCCCTAACCCCTGGTCCGTGGATTGGCACCGGTCCACAGCAGGGCAGAAACCAGGCCACGCAAACAAGCAAAGCTCCATCTGTGGGATACAGGCAGCACATGAAACCATACCCCCTCCAGTCCATAGAAAAACCTATCTCCATGGAACCAGTCCTTGGTGCCCAAAAGGTCGGGGGCTGCTGCTTTAGATCTTGTACTCTTGGCCTTCATTAATTTAAAGGGAGCCTATATGAATTACAATATAGCTTATTCAATAAATGAGGACTGTGGCTCACTAAAAGAGCTTATGTTTGCCTGAAGGAGCTCTCAAGTATAGTCTTTGGTGCTTTCAATTAAGTTGGAATAACCATTGCCTAGAACCCCACGGAGTAACTGCTAATTATTAAACCAGATAGACAAATTGTATTTTTGAATATAAAACTAGCTTTAAACATTCCCATTATTGTTTTCATCTATTTAAAGTGGTCTTCCGACTAATTTACTAAAAACATCAAATAGAATCAATTGTTAGAAGCAAAATATCTTGCATTTTGATTAAAAAAACATAAAGTACACCACCCAGAGTCACTTTTTGGTGAAATAGGTGGCTATATAAATTTGACAAATAAATAGATAAATGAACGTCTACATATTTACATACAAGTCCCAAACTATAATCGAAGAAAGCAGTTTTTCAGTCTTCCGGGATATACAATTGATACCAGAAGATAAAATATTTTAACTATATATGGTATAATCATATACTTGGCTTGCCTTAGAGCAGGGGTCTTCAAACTTAGCCCTTTTATGACTTGTGGACTTCAACTCCCAGAATTCCTCAGCCAGGTATGCTGGCTGAAGAATTCTGGGAGTTGAAGTCCACAAGTCATAAAAGGGCCAAGTTTGAAGACCCTTGCCTTAGAGTCATAAATAAGAAGAAATACCGAACGTGCTATTTAATAAGGCTTCAAGCATTCTTAAAGCAAAATTGAATACCAATGCCAAGCTCGGAAAATATTTTTTAAACATTTGTCCTACAAAGCTGCTGCCTTTTTTTCAGCTGGAGAAAGTCTAAGCCCCCTTCAGTTATTTTCACTAATCTTTGGGGAACTTTATTAACTGAGCTTTTTTCAGTCAGGCAATATAACAAGGACAGCAATGAAGAAGGGACAGAAAACAAAAGGAAGAAATAGGACAAAATGGATGGCTTGCCATGGGCACAGTTTCTGTATATACACATCAGTTTGATTACAACACTGGATTCACAACATGGTTAACCCTCTTTTTTTATACTGTATCTCTCTTCATTTCAAGAAAGACATCCTCACTTTAAAAATATATTGATAAGATTGAGCGAGTCCAGAGATGGGCAAAAAATATGGTGCAAGGTTTGAGGAACAAAACATATCAGGAAAGATTGGAAGAACTGATTATGTACAGCCTGGAGGACAGAAGGGGAGGATCATGACTAAAACCTTTAAATATATTATAGGTGTGAATAAGATTCTAGAAGGCAGTATTTTCAATATTAAGCAAAAATCAAGAACGTGGGGCATAACCCCAAACTGACAGGAGGGAAGTTCAAAAGTAATGTTAGAAAAATATTAATTCACAGAAAGAGTAGTGGAAGCTTGGAACCAACTTCCAGCAGAGGTAGTAGGTCAACCATCAGTAACTGAATTTAAACATGCTTGAGATAAACACATATCCATCATCTGACAAAAATAAAAAAAATAAAAGAAATACAATTAAAAAATTAAAAAAACTCAAAGGGCAGACTTGATGGGTCACTGGGTCTTTTTCAGTTTCCTATCTTACAGAGAAAGCAATTGTTAATTGAAGAAGAAAGCAGCTCTAGCGGGACATGGAGATTTAAAGGGCTGCACCTTCTTCCTCACCTTAATTATTCAGAGTCTGCACTTCCTACAGGAAATGTTCAGTCATGAGAAATATATGGTACACTCTAAAGCAGGAAGCCGCCTCCCCACCACCATCATTTGAATTGGAATGATGGTTCCTAGAAGTTGAATTCCCTTCCCTCAGCATGCCATCTTAACAATTCTAGAAAACAATAAGCAGGGCAAACAGCTCTGTAAGAAAATAAAACTGAATAGCATAGTCTCAATTTGAAGATTTCTTACCTTTGTCACCAACTGCTTAATAAACATCAGTAAACAGGCTCGCAGAGAAAGAATTTCTTTCTGATTAGGCCGAGGTCCATCTTAATATGAAAGATAAATTACATTACATCATATATTTAAACAGTCTGTGATTATTACAATGCAATTACAGTGACTCCTAATTGTTTGCGCTGCATATTAAAGAAAACTTTATTATTTTGAGCACATGAAATATTTCGATCATTATGGATTTGCTTTAATCAGGTTAATACCTTAACAAAACTCAAATCAAATGTCTAAGCTAGAATGTTTTCATCCAGCTTAAGCAGTAGATTGCTTCAATCCTTTTCAGTGGAAAGCTATGTGTCAAAAATATGAAATATATCTATATTTTTTAAGGGAAAACTATTATGACCTCCTTCTAGAAGCAGATCCTAGTGTCCTCATTTGTGCTTAAACCAGGCTCTTTTTACATTATCAATACCAAAGAACTGTCTTCCCTGCTGACCAGTATTTTCCTTCTGAATACTGCAGCCACCTCCAGTCTCTTGGTCAAATCTCAAACAGGCAATATCCTTGGGCAGCCTCGGCCATGTATCTTTACTTACAGAAGTAATACTAAGTCATGGTTTGTTCTAATCATGCAATACAAGTTTTGCATGCACCCAAGGAGCAATATTTTTATTTATCTGTTTTATTTGTATCCCGCCTTATTTTTAAAAATAACTCAAGACAATGAACATATCCAACACACCTTCCTTCTTCTAATTTCCTAATAACAACAACCCTGCAAGGTGGGTTGGTGTAAGGGGGCTGATGCTGTGCTAAGTCACAAATAATATCTATGCAATTCACAGTGCTTAAGTTTGCAAAACCTCCTAAGCCAAAACCCAACTAAATATATTATATGTTAGGCTAAAAAGTGAATCTAGGTAAGAGTTAGTAAGAGATCCTAAAGGATTACAAAGACATCATAACAATATCAAAAGGACTATGAAAAGAGATAATATTCGTATTTATTTTTAACAGGGCTCCCCACCCCCCCACCTATTTGATTCCTTCAAGTCAATGTTAACTCCTGGCAACTGCCTAGACCAGTGGTGGCGAACCTATGGCACGGGTGCCAGAGGTGGCACTCAGAGTCCTCTCTGTGGGCACGCGCACCGTCACCCCAGTCCTAGGTCTTCAGCTGGGTTTTATAAAACCTGTTCGCTTTAGGCCTCCGCCGCCGTGTACAAAAAAAAAGGTTCAATCAATCAGTCAATTTCAACTTCTCGCGGGGAAAAAAAAGATCTTACAAAGTTGGAATTGATTGATTGAACTTTTTAGTCCCACCCAGTCTGCTGTTACCACCGCAGCCACGCCCACCCAATGGGCCACACCCACCCGGCGCCCGACGATGCATAAGTGGGTTTTGGGTTGCAGTTTGGGCACTCGGTCTCTAAAAGGTTCGCCATCACTGGCCTAGACTAATCCCTTCAGTTTTCTTGGCAAATATTTTTGAAGTGGTTTGCCATTGCCTATTTACTAAGGTTGAAAGTGAGTGACTGGTTCACCCAGCTGACTTCATGTCTAAGGTGGAGTAGAACTCCCCTAACTATTACACCACACTGGCTCTCTTTAGGAAATATACATCCTGCAAATTCCATGTGAATTTCTTGTCACTGTAATATTTCAATGTGTATTTCCAGATGGGGGGAGGGGCTGAAATTAAATAAACAGTTTTAAAACCACCTTTTACATTTGTACAATTTATTACCTTGGCCTGTTTACTTTTTACTAGGGATATACAAAACATATTTTTCAATGAAGAAAATACTTCCCGAAAGACCGGATATTCAATTTTTCTCATTGACTATTTTGACTGTTCTTTCCCTATTCTGACTGTTCTGGGGATAAAGCTTTCCACAAGTAAATCGACCTCATTCTGGAAAATGTTGAAACCATTTCCACAATAACCAAAACAGCATGGTCCAGAAGGAAAGCTTAACATTTGGATACTTCTTGAAACATTTTAGTATTCAAGAAGCATGTTTTGCATATATCTAGCTATAATATTCTGGTCAACAAAAACCATGGAGCCAGCCAGCCAGCCAGCCAGCCAGACACACACACACACACATACACACACAATTCAACAAATGTAATATGACACTAGAATTTTAAAAGAATAAAGATCACTCAGTATCACACACATTATACTTAAATTCTATCAATATTAGGATATTATATTGTTTCAGCATCTAATTTATTCAAAGTTCCAAATGTTGTGTTATTGTTATAAAACAAGAAAATAAATACATACCTAAACCTTTGGGAGTAATTCCACTACGGTCTTGAGGATTAACTACCCAATAGTAATACTTCAAGGTATGCATTGCCAATAGAACTGTACCAACTCGTCTAATTGCATTATATATATTTGCTATGCCAATGAACTCAGTAGACAAGTAAGTGTACAACATCAATTGAACCTGTATCATCCAATTTAAAAACAAAACAAAACAAAGGAGAGTAAGATTGCATACACAGGGGAAATTAAATAAAAGCAAGGAAATTACCACTCCCAAAGGTATATTTATACATTTATTTATCTGGAATTAATACCAATAGATGTGACTTGTAACATTTGCAAAGATTTTCAGAGGTTTGATATTATGGTATATCATTGTATTATGGGCTTATGTACAAAACAGAAAAATTGTAGTTTTCAGTTCAAAACAAAGCAACCCACCAAAGCTCATTTTCTGATCTTCTTTCCATGAAATAAAATCTGAAACAGTTCAAAAATTCTACTTCATTGGAGTAAAACTCAGAATATTCCAAGCCATATGAAATAATAAAAACTTGAAATAAAGTTTACTTTTCTTTTTCACGTATCACACGAAGGGAAGGGTAGTCCACATTAGCTTGCTTCAACAAGCCAACTGGCAAAATTCTTAATGAAAGGGACAACTTCTTAAAAAAAAAATAAGACCATCAAAATGTTCAATTTAGTAGTAATAAATTACTACTAAAAATTACTTACCTGAAACAAAAGACTCAGACCAACGTGTTTTTGTTTAAGCACGAAACATCTGTAACAGCTGCTCTGTATTCAAAACACTTTCACAAGTGAAACATGTTTCACTAATTTGTATCATTAATTCACTTTTTCCCCCTTCTGCACAATTGTGTCTGATTCTTGGAGACTGCCTGACAACTGCCTGCAGTTCTCCTGGCAAGGTTTTTCAATAGTGGTCTACCATTGCCTCCTTCCTAGGGCTGAGAGGAAGTAAATGGTCCAAGATCACTTGGGCTTTGTGCTCAAGGCAAGACTAGAACTTCCGGTCTCCTGGTTTCTGATGCCTTAACCACTACACCAAACTGGGTCTCTTAGTTCATATTATTTTTCTCCAAAATACTGTATTTCTTTAAACACAAGAAAGGGGAAATAAATCTAAATTCTTGAATCCATATATCACATTAGTACTAAAAAAAAATCAAGTCTTTTTACACTCTGTTCACAAATGGAATGCATCCTACCTTGGTTGGAGTATGAATCCATATTACAGGGTTAAGTAGAATATGATCACAGAGCTGCTTCAGCAAGGGGGCTCCATTATGCAAATTGCTCAAATATTTAGCAAAGGCAAGGCAAAGGTCTAAGACAGTTCTGTTAATGTGTGCTTTGGAAGACTGTAGAAGGAAAAAGATACTTAAGTAATGATGAACATGGCCAAAATATTAAAAAATGCAGAGAAAAAAACCATTTAATTTTCTTTACCTTTTCAAGACTGTATCCTATTACAAGGAAGCCCTTACAAGAAAGCATTTGTTCTTGCATAGCGACTGAGTTCTTCAGCAATTCCATAATGAAAGCCAGTAAAATAGAACTGAAAAACATATTGCATTGATGCAGCATATTAAAAAGTAGCATATTTAGAGTTTAGAGTAGGATTGCACGTTTTTGATTGATTGATTGATTGATTGATTCTGGTTCATTTTTCTCAATTCAGCAGATTATATTATTTCTATGTTTCAAATAAAATTACTGCAGTTGCACAATTCACCACATCTTTGCCAAGTAACCACTATCACCCTATAGCAATCCCAAAGAGTGATGACTAGAAGGAATAATCATGGGTGTTCCTCCTTGAAGAAATATTCAATATTAGTGGGAAGCTTCATTACATCAATTCACACAGTACACAATCCAGTCTGTAATGTACCTACTGTATATTAAGACAAACTGTGGGTTCTGAGAGTCAGAGGGTGAGCCATATTTAAAACACACTCAACTGCAAAGCAAGTCTAGAGGACCAGAATACATAGAGTGCAAATTAGAACTGAGGTCTGTCATGAAATAAAGTTCATTTTCAAGTATTAGGGCTTTAAACTATATGGAATTAAAGGTATGTAAATTAGAAAAATAATACATGGAAATAGTATTTTTAAACAACTCTTTAGCCTGACAACTTAGCAATTTAGAAGGTTATGACTATGCTTCTTGTACAAAATTCAATCAAGAAATAATACCATAAAAAGGGAAGGAGCCAAGTACAAAACCAGGTACAATTGGCTAATTAAAATATTTGGGTAAACAAAAGATTGTGCTTTGGTACCAACATTTTCAATTATTTTATAAAAACAAGTAGTTTAATAAAAACAGACAATCAGCCATATGAAAAAAAGAAATGTCAGTTATTTCTAATATAACATTTTCATTTAGATGGTAAAATACTTTGACATCTGGATCAAAATCAAACATTATAGATTTGATTTATATTTATAGTGTTACTGCAGTCAAAGCAAATAATTTAAATTGCTGCATAATTTACTGGGGAAAAATAGGTGTTCTAGTCCAGAATATGATTCATTAAAATGTTACCTGTACAATGACCAGAAGTACCAATTGCTTTTGAAAGCCATTGCATTTAATTCCTAAAAGCATTTCTAAGGCAATTGCTGCAGAACAATTAACATTGCCTGGAAGCACACCCATTGTTCTTGACAATCCTATACCAGTTTGTGCATATAAGACATTTTTCACTGACCAAGTACTGGGTCAGGAAGATAAACTCTCCTTGGGCAGAACCAAGAGCCCTGTAAAAAATAACCCTGTACACCTTTTGATAGAAAGGAATTCATCCCTGAGGAATTTTTCATATCTCCCCCTGCCTGACTCCATAAATTACATAGCTACTGAATGATGTACACATTTGTGTAGAAGACTTAGTGTCAATAATCTGACTTCATCTCAAGGTCTTCTCTGCACAACAGATTTAACATGATCTAACCTTGAAAATATAAATAATGATCTCCAAGCTGCAATATAATTGCATTACTTGGGGATAATCCTCCCCCCCCCAAAAAAACTGCTCTCATGTATCACCTCAGATACATTTATATGTGTGTGTGTGCATGCATTTTGTTTTCAACTTACTCTACCAACACAAACATTTCCCAAATTAGTGCAGTTGCTACACAGTTGTAACTAAGAAACCAGGCATAAAAATTCTTTACTATTGGAATGTAATATTTTCTCTAAAATTCAGACTACCCAAAATGAAAGGCAATTTGAAGTGAGAATAAAGATTCTTACCAAAGAGTTGTGTCAGGCTGATCCACGGAATATTGCCTATAGTCCAACTGTGCAAACAGAGGAAATAATACCTGCACTCCTCCAATAGAATGCATTGCACTTTGGATAGAATGGGTTATGACTGCTTTCACATCCTACAATGCCAAATTTGAACACATTAAATGTGGATATTTTTTTTCTATTATTACGTTTAGGCTTCAATGTACCAAAAGAGTTTCAGTAAGATCTTTGCATTATTTACATTATAGTGCCCTGCCAAGGTCATAGACATTATGAGAGAGCACAATTGTGTTTTATACAGGAAATCTAAATAAAATCTAATCTAAATCTAAATAAAAGCCTTTAAAATAATGATGAGCAGAACTTCTATCAGGCCTTAAAGCAACGGATACATTTAGCTTGAAGAAAATACAAGGGCCTGAAAGCTTATGATTGCACATCACTAATCAGTCACATCTGGTCTGAAAACAGGCTATGTGTTGAAAGGATCAAGCCATAAACCTTAAATCTTTTGAAGAACACACTAAAAGATCAAAAAACACCCAAGGGGAAAAAAATCAAATATATCTCCCTATGAACCCAAAGTCAGACACACCAAAATACCTGTAGCATGAGGGCATGTGGTGAATGTACAAAGATAGAAGGATTGTCCTTGGGTGATGATTCTAGGCAGAGCTGTGCATCTGTAGCCCTTGGGTTGTATGTAAAGGAAATAGCATTAGACAGTTTCCCATCATATAATAATTGTTTATGATGATCAGCTAGGAACAGATCACTTTCTCCTTTGAACTTAAAAGCTCCCTAAAATGAAAGATTAAAAGAAAGATAATATTTAACCAAAATGCAACTGGAATGCAAAGTTTCACAAGCAAGTGTTCAGGATGAGTCAACTATATAGTACATATCTGAGATGCAGTAATGAGTAAAAAGAGCAATGAACAATATTTTTGAAAATAAATTCTACATTTATATCTTAGCAATGTTTATTTGTCAAAAGAAGAATAAGGATAGGAGAAAATATATTTGAATACTATTTATTGGTAAAATTGAAGAACAAAACAATTTTGTGTTTGTAGCAGTACTTCAAATGTTCAGAAGTACAGGTAGCTTTGACTTATGACCATTCTTTCGGATACCATTCAAAATTACGATGGCATAAATGAAAGGACATACGACCCCTGCCTGAAGTTGCGGCCACTGCAGCATCCCTGCAGTCATGTGAACAAATCTGCCTGGCCTTCACCAACCTCAGGGATGCTGCAGCAGGATTCCCCACCTATCTTTTCCCTCATCCAACTCTGCTAGTCCCCACAGGTCTTAGGTCTGCATCCTATCCTGCTAGGTCCCACACTTTCCTCCCCACCCTGTCATGGCTTGGTCCGCTTCATTGTGTCTGCTTCCAAAATGGTGCTCCCTTCTGTGATGGCACCATGCAGACTCCATGTAGGAAGGCTGTGTGGCAGGGTAGCCGCTTCTAGAAGGAAATCAATAGAAAAAGTAAGTGGACCAAACAATGATGGAGGGAGGGGAGGGAGGTATGGGATCCAGTAGGGTGTGAAGCAGGCTTAAGGCCAGTGGGGACCCAGTGGTGCAGAAAATGGAGCATGTGCTATCTCAGGGGGTGGGGCAGGCTCTGGAAGGTCCAGGGCAGGCCACATGTGAGCAATGTGGGTCTGTGCCTGTGCTAGGCCTCCCAGGGCTTCCCTCACCTGAGGCAACTGCTGGTCCAGTTAACGACCACAATAGGGAGAGCAGGAGTTGATGTCATTAAGTAAGGTGTTCACATGGGCACCTCATTTAATGATGCTCATGATTTACAACCATAATAGTCATGTTCCATAATGGTCGTACGTTGAGGATTATCTGTATATGAAGTACAGAGATTTGCATTTAAAATTAAACTATCTGACATTATAGAAATGAACCATAACTGTCATGCCTCCGTCGGAGCCTGAATCTGCTGAGGAAAATGAGCTGGAATGGGACCCTATGGAGGTCGAGGGAGAGGTGTCTGTGAGGAAGAGCAGGCTGAGGCAGGCCAGGGCCTTTCAGGATTGGGACAGGATGAACATGAGAAACAGAGCTCAGGCGATGTGCAAGGGCCACCCCCTCCTGATCCTAGAGCATGGAGAGTGGAGAGGAGGAGGAAACAATGCAGGCAGGCTCAACTACTCGGGAGGAGAGCGCCCCGCCCCTCTCCACAAGGCATACCTGGAGACTGAGACTTAAGGAGACGCTGTGGGGAGGGGCATTTGTCGGGAACAAACGCTGATTTCTTGGAGTTTTGTGTACTGTTGCTGATCTTGGAAACAACTCTCTGATCTCTTGTTCGGTGTTGTGATTTCTGCTTGGAAACTCTGGAACTCTGACCATTGGACTGGCTGGCAAACTTGATTTGTGTTCAAAGACCTCGGATTGGCTTCTCTTCTGAAACTGCTCAGGCAAGCTTGTGTTTCCACAGACTCATTTTGGATGTATGTTTCATTCCTTGTTATCTACGTGGCCTTGAGTAAATTACTCTTCTAATCTAACTGTACGTGAAACTACTTGCAGCCAGAGGCTGCTGAAGGTGTGTGTGTCTTACTTTGTTCTGGGGCTTACCAGAAATGTGGGAGCATTTGGGGAAAAATTGGAGCAATTAAAGGGTGGTTTGAATTGCCAGCTGACTGCATTGCCTCTGTGCTGTGCCCTGGGTCATCACACATAACCAGGCTTGAGCAACGCTGTGCTTAGATTTATTTCAACAAGCTGAGGTACAAGAGGGTCAAATCCCTGGTTTTTGAGTTTACAAGCAGTTTAAATTAGTAATATTTTACTATTATATTCTGTATAAAGTAAATTGAAATCAGAATATTTAAAAATCCACTTATCACTTAACAGGGATACTGCTATCTTTTAAAAATTAATCCAGTATAACATTAAAGTTTTGTCAGCTCCACCAAAATTCTGTTAGGACTATACGTACTTTGTATCCCAGACCAAGTTGATAAATTGCAAAGATCTGTGCAGCATTGAGAGCTTCACTGAAAAGATAAACAGCTGTCATCTGGCCACAAAATACTCGATTGGCATCTGCCGTTTCTGAAGAGCCCAGGAAACATTTGTCAAATGTCTAAGAAAGTAAATAAAAGGATCTAGTCAATGTTAGTTTAATTTGTTTTTGAAAGTGAAGACTATATACATAATAAAATATTTTCCATTCTTTTTTTCTTTTTCTTGTTGTATTTGTATTTGGGATGAATAAAGTAGCTCAGTCATTGGAGTTGTGGATATAGCTATTTTAAAATCAATTTTAGTGAAGTCAGAATTTTATTTGTTATTCCCTTTTAGGGATGAGTTTTTTTTCTTATTTATGATATTTTCTTAGATAGCCTTTTATTCAGCTGGTATGATGGTGACTGTGATGTTTTTGTTGTATAGATTGTTTTTACATTGATCACAGTAGAGATATGAGTAGTATATACAGTAATGAAATAAATAAATCAACAGTAGCAATAAATAAAATAGAAACATCACATAAATTATTTCTTATCCACATTTATTTACTTAGTTGGTAAGACTATTTTCACATAAATATTCACTTCATTCATTCATTCATTCATTCATTCATTCATTCATTCATTGTCCAAGTGTCACAGATTGGCCAAAAATATAGAACTTTTATCCTATATTTAATCTATAAATGTTGCTAAAGATATAAAAAAGAAGAGTTCAATTACAATTGAAGCAATGCATATGCCAAACTAAGGAAATAAATGTGAATAAGAAATAATTTATGTATTTTTTCTACCTATTGCTTTTATTAATTTATTTATTTCAGGGCAGTATATACTTCTCACATTACTACTCTGATCAATGTAAAAATACTCCATACAACAAAAACATTATAGTCACCACCATACCATCTGGAATAAAAGGCTACCTAAAAATTTCTTATTTATATATTACAGGTAGTATGGTGGTGACTATAATGTTTTTGTTCTATGGACTACTTTTATGTTTATATAAAAAACAATGGTATTCCTGTTACTGATTAAGCTCTGACCAGCCACTAAAGTAAAATTGTTTTTATAGCATTAAAAGTAAGGCTCCAAGTGACCAAAATATTCAAAGCATTGAGATGACCTTTGAGAAAGTTTGCCACTAAAAATGACTGCCTTTTGAGCCACGAGGTCCCTCATTTCTGGCAGGATTGACTTGAATTCTTTAAGAAAATGTAGTGTTAAATTTGCTGTAATGGGTTCATCATAAGCACCATTCTGAACTGGGCTCTGAAGCCTTTAATGACCAGCACAATTACTGAAAAATAAGACCCCCTTTTCTCAAAGATGCCAGCCACAATTGCCAACAATATATCAGGAAATCTCTTATCTAGACCAAGGTCAATTAACCTAGAGGCCAATAATATTTATTATTTGTTAGATTTGCATCCCATCTTTTAATAGCCGCTGAAAGGGATATTCATATTACTCCACACTAACAACCCTGTAAAATTGTGACAAGCCTACTTATATTTATAAATAAAAAAATATCTGTGTCAACACCCAAGATCTCTGCTTCAGATTATTAGATAGATAATCTTTATTGTCATTTTTTTACTGTGGGCACAGTGACACACATTAAAAATGAAATTTTGTAGCCTGCTCTCAAAAGTGTACACGTGCATAACACTATTGTTGAAATGCTAGAGCAAAAAATAAGAGAATAGTAAATTTCCATTTTTCCTTTTCAACTTTAACATAAGCAACACGGGACAGAAATGACATACAATATTTCCTGTACATTACTGATATAGTGAATTACTTACATCACTGGCATTGACAAACCATGTTATCTCTCCATATGATGCTAGTTCTCCATTCACATAACATCTGAGTTCACTGTTCTTCCAACGATTATAGATATGAACAATAGTAACCATGTACCACTATATAAGAAATGTAGATGTGTTATACAAAGTGTAAAAATAGAGAGTTTTTTAATATTTTGAAAATTGTGTACATCTGAAAAGCAGAAATGTTTTTTCTGTTAAATTGTTAACTTGTAGGCAATACAAATTGAACAGACACATCAAAATAAACCTGCTACCAGATATAATTTCTTTTGAATAATATTTCTAATCTGGCTGAAATAAAATGTTTCCTTCAATGAAAATATTCTCTATAGAAGACTTAGTATAACAAAATAATGATATAAATGTGTAAGAAGGAAACTATTTCCTCTTGTAAAATCAGAAAGAATAAAGGTCTAGAATGTCAGCTGAAAATTAGTCAGTCTGCACATAGTGGAAGAAAATGCATTGTTGCTGTATCGTTGTTTCACTTACAGTCATCCATTTAATAGCATTATTCTTTAAGTAACAATGTTACTTAATTTTTGCTATTGAGATTTTTTTTGCATTCTGTTTTTGCTTTGTTTTTTTAATCTATGTCTGCCTCTACGGGTAGTCCTCAACTTACGACCACAATTGAGCTCAAAATTTCTGTTGCTGAGACATTTGTTAGGTAAGTTTTGCCCCATTTTACAACCTTCCTTACCACAGTTGTTAAGTGAATCACAGCAGTTGTTAATTTAGCAACACAGTTGTTAAGTGAATTTGGCTTCCCCATTGACTTGCTTGTCAGGCGGCTGCAAAAGGGGATCACCCCGGGACACTGCAAACATCATAAATATGCCAAGCATCTGAATTTTGGTCACATGACCACAAAGATTCTGCAACAGTCGTAAGTATGAAAAATGGTCGTAAGTCACCTTTTTCAGTGCCGTGGTAATTTTGAACGGTCACTAAATGAACTGTTGTAAGTCGAGGATTACCTGTATTTCATTTTATCTATTTGGCTACAACAAAGAAAGTGGATAAATTCCTGATCTGATCTTTAAATAACCAGTTATTACAGAATTAGACATCCTAAAATTGCATGATTTACACATACAAATTCAATATTTACTGAAAGTGACACACACTAAAGTCTTTCATCTCTATTCAATTTTAGAGAAAGTTGTTCCTTTTAAATTATTATAAAATTTTATATTAGAATTTTCTTTGTATTTCTCCAAAATGCAGATTATTAAAATAAACGTCAACCTAATATCGCTAAAGCCAATGATCATTCATTTTCAAATGCAAAAATATTTATTATACATTTTATTAGTTGTAGATTAAACATACTGTGGAACAAAGTTTACACCAAACAGAGTATGGAAAGTGAGAGCTCTTCCTTCACATATAAGTCCAGCTGTAATAGATTGGAAAAAAGCAGAGTTTTCCCCTTGTCTGGTGTTTTGGAAAGAATCCAAACTTCTGGAAGATATAAATTATTTCCTGTACAGTGGAGTCATAACTGTTCTAAAAGAAACAGGAATCTCTGTGTGTTCTCCATCTACTTACTAGTTGATAAATAGAATGATAAATAGAATTCAGGCAGAAGCAGAAGCCATGTTGCTGATAGTTGGGACTACTGAATAGCTGAAAAGCTTTTGGTGCTGAGTATGGAATGTGTTGGAGAAGGAACTATTTTATTTGAGCTTAGAGCATGCAGGTCAAATAAATAAAGCACAATTCACAGTTTCCAATGAAAATGGAAAAGAACTGAATCATCATGGAACTGCTAAAGCAAAAGTTACTTACTAGCCAAAGAGAAACAATCTACAATTTGAGATGAAAGATGAAGTTTACTTCTAAATGAGTCACCATCTGGAATCTCTAAGAATGATAGAAACCAACCTCTTACATTAGGAGACAGTAGATTAGGAAAATATTGTGTAAAGAAATTATGAATGTGAAAGCTGTTTAGAGAGCAGAAAAAAATCTATATACCACTTAAAGGAGCAAACAATAAAAGAAATAAAAGCAGAAACTGAGGTGGACTCAGTTCACAAAACTAAAAGGAAGACCAAAAACACTGTAAATTAGGCTTATAGGAAAGTTACCTGGGATGTAGGTTAAATGAGGTATAAGAATATGATACTTTATGTTACTTAAATTTAAGTGCTACCTGGGAAAGAATAAACCTATACCTACTGGGCTGTCTGCCAGTGGCTGGATCATCCAAAACAAACCCATGATACGTACCTTTTGTGGCTTGAAATCAAATTTCACACAGTGCTGGAAACCTTTTCCTTTTGATTTAATTGATGTCACAACCAAACAGCCTCCCACAAAATGAGCAGAATAACCAAGCCCTTTACTTGTTCTAAAACTGAAACAAATAAAATTATTACACTTATATTTATTTACATGTATTGATGAAAGTCAATTTTACAAGCAGATATATAACACTAGTAAATATATCAGGATATATTTATATACATATTTATAATAAAATATATAGTAAATATATAAATATATAAGATGAATATATACATACCAATATAAGTAAGGCTTATCTTTGTCTACATTAATATTATTTACAGGATCCATTCTTAACCAAGTATGAAAGGTAAATCCATTCTGGTATGGCCACTTTGCTATAGGAGGTAAGGCAATAGCCTAAAAAAAGCAATGGATTATCATAAATGAAATGTGTATTTTTAAAAAAAAACAAACTTTAAAATATGTTTTAATAAATATCCTTATTTTCATTTCAACCTTTGCTGTATGCAAAGGCAATATTTCAACCTTTTATGTATGCAAAATCAATATTTTCCTTTGTTTTTTGCTTTTTTGATGTTTTAATATAAATAAATGTGAAATCATTTCAGATATAAGGTCAGAAAGGATACCAGTGATTTATATCAATACAATGATAGAAATATTGACTGTTCACAACTGAATCACATGAGACACTTCCAGGAAGGTGAATGGATGGATGCTCTGCATTTTGTAGAGGACATTGCAGTCAAAATATAAGATCCAGACTGCTGATAATTCTCTCTGCAGTAAAGAGAGAACTTGAGATCGCCCTCATGTATTTTGCATAGCTGCTGGCATTCAGTTTTTTGTTTCTTTTTTTAGTGGACAACAGAAACTGAGGTATTCGCAGCTACTTGCAATCAGCTGGGAATCATAAATTCCATCATCATCTAAGCTTTTAATATAGCCTTCTTTAAGGAGTCAAATTTTGACCTAGCCTCACTTTTGTAATCATGCTGGAATTTAATTTTTATTACCTCTTGAAGAATGAAAAACCTTCAGAAGTGCAAACTTTGTATTTGCTATGTGATTCCCTCTTTCATCCTTTTACAAAGAAAGAGAAGTACCTATTTCCAGTTTTGAAAGTTTTTATTTTTTTCTAATATGCAGCTAAAATATTGTCTTTTGGAAAGTTTTTAAATGTGAAGAATTTGGAGGAATTTAATTTAAAGAAAGATGTGGAAGTTAACTAAAAATATCCTCTCATGTGGGAAAGAATTTCTGTGTTTATAAGTTGCTGATAAGAAGCTTTGAACGTTAGCTACCAGATGGCTATGTTAAAGGAAATTTATGATTTGTGGACTCAAGAACAGTGGAGTACTTAACCCTATACTGCAATCAAAAAGTGCTGAAGAGAATCAAGTCTTTGAATAAAATAGAAAAGGTATTATTGAGGATCTACAAGAAAGAGATGGAAATATTGGATTTACAAATGAACCTGGAGGACTACTTAAAAAAATAAATAAATGCATAAATAAGATATAAGAAATGATGTGAATTATTATACTGCTTGACTATTTATTCAGGCAAACCACTTCTTGCTTCAAACCATGATATCAAAATCTGTGACAACTCCTTTTCATTTATTTTAAGCTGGGTTTATTAATTTAATACATAACTCTTTAAACAGTATGCATAGATTTGCCTGTACTCAACTGTTATAAAGCTTATTAAATGTTCTCTGCATGTATATAGATCCCAGTTTCCAAAACTGGCACAAAAAACATTTTGAATTACTTTTCTTTTAGCTATTATATATTATATTTAAGACTTCAGAAAAGACCAAGTACCTTACAAAACAAAGATTAAAAAAAATAAACATGATGGATAAAATTACTTACTGCAGCACTTTTTCCTGGGAAATTGAAGAAGGCATCAGGCCCATATTTCTGGGGCATATATTTTAATACAGACAGCAACTTTCCAGCATACAGAGGCTATTCAAAAACAATTTTAGTACAATGTATAATAATAATAACAATAATAACAATAATAATAGCAACAATAACAATAACAATAATATTATCATCTGAATATCCTGATTTTGCAAAAATCCACCCTACTTGGAACTGCCTATATATTCAGACACTAACTTAATAACTTTTAGATCCTTGGTTAGGACTTGAACTGTTAAGTTTTTACCAGTCCCAGACTGTGAATCAAATTGAAGATTAAAAATTTAATAATAATACAAAATCCAATAAAAATTATTCTATTTTCATACCTCTACTAATTTTAGAAGTTTCTCCAAAACTCTTGGGCCAGAAAATCAGGATATAAATAATAGTTTATATATAATAATGATTATACATCAGAATATTGGTATTAAGAATGTAAGACCACATCTATTCTATCAAAACTGTTTGTGCTGCTGCAGCCCAAGGATATTTTAAGTCTGGGATAGCGGCTAAAAATTAAGATTTCCACAAGGCAGGCGGGAAGACATGTAGTACGAGATGGAGCAGGCCACCCTCCCAGAAAGAGAATTGATCTTCTAAGAACCAATCCTTATTTCTAGCATCCTGCCATTATCTGGGATCCAGCTATCAGGTCCTTGAAGGCTCCATGCTCTGGTGGCTACTACTTA